GGCTGAACCCCTTAACATTGCTCCGTCATCTGTACTCCTCAAGTGCAGCGTCATTTAATGAATGATCCTCTTGTGGGTCGTCTTCGTTGTGCCTGGGATTTTTGAACACTGGTGCTGTAGCGTGAAATCAGCCATGATTATGACACCATGTAATCGGCGGCAGAACTCATCGGACTGAATTTATTCCTTAGTACACTTCAATGTCTAATCAAATAAAATATACTTGTCGAACCATTTTAGTTTCATTAGTGCAATCATCTGATAATTGAGGGGTACGGATCTTGCGCACAATCATTTTCCATACTCCTTTAGGATTGCCTATATTGCTTCGATAGATTAATCTTGCTGTAGTGACCAGTCCACTTGATTTGTAGCTCAGGTAATTTCATGGAAGCCAGTTTACAGTATTCCTAGGATGACTGCTACGGAAGCGAGTGTGACAGCAGCAGCTTTCGCCAAGCTAGGGCCACTGGATGTTCACTAGGTATTACTGGATTCATGCCTCACACTCCATGACAAGTTGCTAGCAGCTCGTCAACTTCAAATTCATACATGAGGGATCTGATTGCGGTTTGGTGCGAGTCCACCAGCAGACGTGTAGTGCTGCCCCGATCTCAGATATCATCTCCGCACTCTCTGCTTCCAGTTCACAAGGCCTGTAGGGAATTTGAACCCCTGGTCAATTTCTTTGACGTGTCAAAAGCACGTATGAGCTGAAAGCGATTACGGTTCATTTTGTCTTGGGTATTTTGCAACTACTGCAAACGGCAGCTTTACATAAAACAGTAAATCTCACCCACCCACATTTCGCCAACACTCAGGTGGATCGAGCTTTAGGGCACACGTAGAACATCCGCATTTCTTTTGGTAGCAGCAGTCTAACGAAATAGGAAAACAAATCTATACCAGCACGTCACCATGATCTGTTGTTGTTCTGTCGTTTTGGGAGTACGATTAGCCGCTCAGCTGTACATCCCGTGGAATTATATCGGAAGTTAAAAGAGTCCCAGAGAGTCCCACCGCCCACGGGAACTTAACTAATGGGCAATACTTTTACGCTTGTTAAGTCATTCGCAACTACTGAATGTGTCATGACCGTGGAACAAACGGTTGAGCGTGAATCGTCAGTGATCTATTTACACAGTTTCCATGGATACTTAAAATACCAAAAATTCTAGTACGATGGCATATTAAAGATTTCCAAATCGGCCGGATACGTATCTGGGCGATAAGGAATATTTATACATTCAAGTCTGCCAAGGCAGGGATCTCAAGTCAAGTCAATAAAATGCTTAATACACCAACAACGCTTGAATATTCAGCCGTAAACAGACTGGTTTCATCAAATAAATGCATCGTACGCGCTGGATTCTTCCATCACCTTTCTTTCTAAAATGGGTGATTAGATTTGACCTAAACGCTTCTTTACCTACTTCCAGGATTCTTTTACCATACCAATACGGTAAAATTCCTTCTCGTGTTCATTGCGAAACTGATTTTGATTTAATTGTCCAAGCTGATGGAATAAAATGAGATTTGATAAAATCTGTTCAAAAGCCACTGCACTCAGCTTTCTTTTTATTTCTGTATTCTGCTGGAATAAACTCCTTAGGCGGCCGCGCACATGCAAATAGATCCGGTGAGCCTCCAGTAGCTGGTAGACATTGTTCCGGACTCATTTATGCAGAAGTAGCATCTCATATTTTCACCGTCTAATTGTTACGAATTCTTATTTTGCTAAGATGGTTTATGTGAAGGTAACATTCAGTCTACAACAGTGTTGTCACTAACCCTTTTATCATTTGCTGGGATAACATTAAGCAACTGTCGAAGCGCCACCAACATTTGAACACGGTAGCCAGTGCATTATGCACTGCTGTCGAGATGTTGCAAACCACCAGCCAAAAACGTCGGCATCGACCCAATCTGAACTGAGCGGTGTCAAACTCGCTGGGGGTAATTAACATATTTCAAGGACACATGCACCGCTATGCGTCCTCACGTCGTATTCACACCCCCAGACATGCGTGGGTGAGTAAATACAGTAGACTTACATGCCATTGGTGGGTCGGCAAATTAGTGCGTTCCAATCTACCCCTGACCAGCGCGGCGACTGAGCAAAAACGAAAGACTCTTCTCAAATGCACTGTATTTAAATGGGACGGACGTCGCACACTAAAAACAATTGATCGTGTGAGTGGTTATCAAAAGTACATGGACGGGTTGGATGAAACATCAACAAGGATAAGGTCAGGCTAGCTCACACGCATGCGTCCTCCACACAAACCCTTACGTTTATATGATGGGATTTGGAACACGCTGGAATACATTGGAATATTGAGAGCAGGAGAAAGATCCTTTGTCAGCTCCATCGGTTCCGAATCATCACAGTATGGCATATGACCTCTCTTATTTCTGCGCGATGACGCATACAATGCGATTTCATCGGCAGTCCTTCTCCACAAACACGTGCAGCGAGTAGTCTCTTAATTGGCATACACGGCAGCATGTAACGATCATTTCGTTTGAGATACACCTACGTTTTCCTGAGAGACTGAGCGACACTGTCAGCCTTTCATGTTACACCGTCACGGTCACTGTTAAACAAATTAGACAGCGTGCACCCCACTTGGTTCCTGCAATTGCTATCAAGACTGTGACGGGAGTAGTCTGTCAACGACAGCTTTTCCGGACTCATTTATGCAGAAGTAGCATCTCATATTTTCACCGTCTAATTGTTACGAATTCTTATTTTGCTAAGGTGGTTTATGTGAAGGTAACATTCAGTCTACAACAGCGTTGTCACTAACCCTTTTATCATTTGCTGGGATAACATTAAGCAACTGTCGAAGCGCCATCAACATTTGAACACGGTAGTCAATGCACTATGCAATGCTGTCGAAATGTTGCAAACCACCAGCCAAAAACGTCGGCAGCGACCCAATCTGAACTGAGCGGTGTCAAACTCGCTGGGGGTAATTAACATATTTCAAGGACACATGCACCGCTATGCGTCCTCACGTCGTATTCACACCCCCAGACATGCGTGGGTGAGTGAATACAGTAGACTTACATGCCATTGGTGGGTCGGCAAATTAGTGCACTCCAATCTCACCCTGACCTGCGCGGCTGATCTACGGCGACTGAGCAGAAACGAAAGACTCTTATCAAACGTACGGTAGGTTGATGTACTTTCCTAATGTTGCTCACCAGCACAAGCTTAATGTTCATTTGTCAGCTGCTTGGTTCAAATCTGGTTCCCATGCACATTATGCGAGGTGGCTGACGGAGACCACTAGGAGTGATCCACGATGTATTGACTACGTGTACAGGCAATGGTGAAAGTGTACTCTGACGACCATACAGGCTACGCCGGAACCCAACTTTTTCCTTCGGTGCCTGGAGGAATGATCTCACAAATTATCCTGAGATTTAAACATGGATGAATTATGATCTGAGAACGGCACGTTGCACACTGGAGGTTATCAATAGTCAGTGTCCGAGATTTTACAACATTACCTGAAAACACCAGCGAAAATGGTATTTGCTTCGCATACCCTCTTACCTGGTACCCGACCGTTATAGGTCTTTGTACCTTCCCTGAATAATGGTGTTATCATCTATAGAGTACCCTAATAGTCACCTCGAGATGGAACATTTAATTTACTCCGCTTTATGTAGTAAAGCAGATACCCTTTCATTACAGCAAACCATATGATTAACCCTGGTAACGGCATACAGTTTATCAGTTTGAAATACCTCCTTACATTCGTGTTGAAAGGAATATCACCGAGACACACACTTCCTCTCATGTCACATTCTTAAAATTAAAGCGCTAATTTACCTAACCGCTCTGTGCTCCCCAAACACTCTGATCAAACCGTCGACTATGCAGACATTATGCTCCTTTCAGCATGATGTGAAAACACTCGATCATCGGAGAAAGTATGATAGCCATCAATAGAAACCATCACTGAGCTGCAATTATTAGGGGCCTAAACAGATGCAATGAAAAGGCACCTTGTTTTCAGACGGTGCTTACTAAACCCAATATGGGTTCGAAGTCAAACCCTACTTATACTGGGGTATACAATCAGGTAAGTAGCCTTGTTCATTTTGGTTGTGGGTGCTACCAACAGCGGACATATCTTGAGCAATTGACCTAGTAGCACCATAGATGGAGTGTTGTCGACGGGGTCGAGACAGCAGATGACGATATCCGGATGGCCCATCCTGAGAGAGGGGTTATTTTCGAGATATCCTATATCTAGCTTTTGACTAAACAGTCTGACCTACATGGCAGCGGGTTACACGGAGGTTCACTTGAATGACTCAGACTAGAGATATATATCGCCTCACCCACCATCAGTGGTTATTTCGACTGGCAAGCTTTAAACACCTGTTTACAACCAAAACTCAATACGATTTTTGTGTCAAAGCAACTTAAAATCTCAAACCTGTCACATACGACGAAATATGCCATAAATAAAAGCACATAATAACTGAATGAATGAACGTCTGGGATACGGCAAGTTAATCCGGTTATTAGCTAAGGCATGCATTAGAGTGAAACAAAACGAAATCAATGCTCTGTGGATAAGGAATCTTCAAGGTTAGACTGTGATTCCAGGTTGATAACACCTTCGCCTTGAACACGAGAACTTTGCTGAAGACTCACACGGAAACTGACGGGTTCAGTGAAAGTGAATCCCATATGCATCGCAGGATTTGAATCAACAGCAAAAAAGTAATCCTGAAAGCTGCTTTCTTCCTGCTGTTCATCTGACCTAAACGGAGCTATTTCTTCGTCCAATTGAATTGCAGCATTGGAAACCTCAACCCCATCATCCTCTCCATATGGAGACTGCAGATTCCGTGAGAACGATGAAGGGTCTGTGTGTGTGAAAATAAGGGACGTGCGACTGTTTATTCGTGACGGTTGATTTATCGTAGAATTTGTTGGCTCAATCGCTCGGGTGGTCGTAGTCACAACTGAATGGCTTCGATTCTCGAAAGTGTTTTCTTCCACTTCGCTCCAAAAAGCGTGCTGTGGTTCCAAAGCCTCTTCATCCTCCTCGAGTTCCACTCCTTGTTCCACATCAACCTCCTCACTAGTGTTTCTCCAAGTCACACGAGCCGGACGTTCTTCTAATCGAACCGAAAGAGAATTTGTCGCCTCTATTGTGCCTATGGTCACGTGTACAACAGGCTCCGCTGGCCGAGCGGGATTTATCCGCCTCCACCATGGCCTTGGAGGCCACACTGTCTGGTTAGGGTTAGTGGTTAGTGGGGTCAGAATGTTACGACCAACTCCCAGATTAAGAGGGGTTAAAGGCGGTGGGTCAGGTGGCGGCCATTCAGGCAACCTGGTGGTCCTTCCCGTCAGAGTAGGCCTCATGCCTAGCGCCTGCATAGCAAATGGATGTGGTTGCCGACGTGTTGGAGCTGCCGAATTAGACTGGTCATCAACGCGAGTAAGTGATCGAGTTTTTATATATATTCCCGGAAATTTTGTTATCACACTCTCCTCGTCAATTTCGGAGGCATTTTGAAGGACTGGTAGGCTACTGGGGCGAGTGGGTAACCGCTTAACATGCATAGCTCAGCTATTTCAACCATCGGTGTCACTTTCCATCATTCCTTCTTGGCACATGCCCAGTTAGTAATGGCAATTCAACTAATGAGGTTTGCTTTTCGCAGAGTCAAAGACCGTTTCTACATTCGGTTAGTAGCAGCTTCCAGTAGTCATTCAAAGGACAGATCGATGCGATCTGGTCACGTGATGGCAGAGCTAACGGTGTGGCATACATCGAGGGAAGAGTTTTAGAGAAGGAGTATATATTATATATTTATCAACAGTCTACGGATAGACAAGAGCCATCAGAAACCATGGGACTCAAACGAAGGCAGAGAAATAGTAACGGAAAACACAACACAATAATGTCCATGGTTTCGTCAGAGGGCGAGATACTACCCGGTTGCCCAAGCCGAAGTAGGATGTTGACTTAGGGGACACCACCCCGAGCCTTTGGCTGAATAGCCTGCCCGCAATGCAGCGGAGCGAATTCAGACAATCGCACCCATTGGGAGCCGGTGACTGATTGCTCAGTTCATCCGTCTTTCTTTTGTTCCTTTGTCAAACAGGGGTCCAATGCTCCCTAGAATACAGTGCTTCGCAAGGATGAAGTAAGAGACAGTGACTTTATTGAGTGGCGTGTCACGTCCGCCACGTCACAGTGTTATTAAACGGATATATGTGGCTTTTTATAGGGAGAACACTTGCCAGGCGAAAACCCACCACGTTCTGGAACACTGTCGCCGAATCATTTTCTGGAACGGGAAAAGCCCGAATTATCCACCTGGCAACGTGGACACCGCACACACAACGAAATGGGATGAATTTTGATGTTAAAAGAGTTTTGCAATCAATTGCCTCCTTTAGATGGCAGTAAGAGTACTTAGGTCGAGAAATTTAACAAAGGGGCTTCAAATACAGTTTCAAAGTTGCTTCCCGTGGTGGTAAATACTTGAATGATTCTTACATCATGTCTTAAGGAACGCGAGTATTCCCTTCAGCAAGCTGGTTTTGCTGTGCCAGTTAAGATGGCTCAGTCACATCCTGCATATGTCAGCTGAACGTTTGCCCTATCGCTGTCGGTTTGCCCGTGCAGGACTCAACTGGAAGAGACCACGTGGTGGTCCGCCATCCCCTTGGTGACAGCAAATGAAATCGTTGCCTTCACCTCATGCTACTATTTGATCCACACATCTGCTTGGTTGGGGATCAAAGGACGAGGAGTGCCGATGGCTAGAAACAATACAGGATGTGGCTTGTAACGGAAACCAGTGGAGGATCTGTGTGCATAATTGATTAGATTTGGTTACCTAGCGGTGAAGAGCTTGTGCCGTAATCTTGCAGCTCGGGTTCGAACCCGCTTGTGGGTGGGTGTCCTCGAGGTATACTCAGCCAGCGTGCGACTGGTGGTGGTCGCATGACAACGAAGCCCCGTTACGACGTACAGCTGACACATTATTACTATTATTATTATTATATTTGGTTGTTTAGTGATTAAGGATTTAAAACGAGAAAAAATTAAAAATGGTTGCGCAAAATAACAAAGAAATGCTACGTTTTTTTCTTTTATTGCGGAACAATAGCTGAAGTGTATCACTCAACTTAAGTTAATGTACATGATGATGCTACGGTGTTAAACCTGTCTTCTTCTACTGGGTTTTTATGGTTATGTTTGGCTCTATGTTTATTTAATAGACTGACGCCCATACTACTATTACTAATAACAATAATAACACTTTTGCCACTACTACTACTACTACTACTACTACTACTACTACTACTATACTGCTACTAGACTAATACTACTACTGCTACAACAACAACAACTACTACTACTATACTACTACTACTACCACTACTAGTGCTACTACTACTACTACTACCACCACTACTACTAATACTACTAATACTACCAATACTACTACTACTGCGTCGCGACCGCACTGATGCAACCTCACAGCTGTCCATGCAACTTTACTGTACCCTGATAAAATCCTGCGCATCTACTTGACAGATATAGAGGCTTGTTCGATTTGCTCTCCGGTGCCTTCGTAGCTTAGCTCACATATGGGGTGAGCACCAAACAAGAGTATCCAGCGTCTTAAAGCACCAGGCTCCAATGCCTGAGCCACCTGTTGCACAGACTGGCACACTGGCTCCCGCTACACGCGTTGTTCTCGCACCAGGAGTATGGATGAAGGGAGAGGATGGAAGACTAACCAGTGACTGTTAAAAGGAATTAGCACACTCATCCAACAAGCATTACCTTGCCAGCAGTGCATTCACCAAACCAGGGAAAACTAATAGTTTAGCATCTCTTATGTTGTTTTTTTCTTTCGTACTGATACCCATTTGGGATGTATTGCAGCCCAATATCTTTAATGTTTACACGCTTAGCTAATGTGAAGAATGATGATGATGACCCAAGGTGATGGCTTGGAACGCTACGAGCAAGCAGTCGCAAACTAGTCACATGTCACGTGTGGTGTTGATGCCGACAAGTTATGTCCCTGGAACATGTAAAGGGAATCAAACAGCGTCACATGGGCTGATCTGAGGCACGCCCGCTAGGTCACAATTGACACAGTGTCTGGCGTCTGGTGGAACAATGTGCGTAGTCAGATGCAAGCAACGGGATGGCTTGACAACCTCCAGATAACTTTGACCGTACCGTTGTGAAAAATGCCGTGAGAACAGGTTAATGATAAACCAGGGAATGGCTCAGTGCGACAGATTCCATCTGCGACTTGGACGTAACTGTCTGTTTTCGCTCCCTGGCAAAAACGTTGCACATGCAGTGAAACTAATACAAATCGTCAATCTCTGTTTACCTACAGCTGTGCTAATATTAATGCATGGGAGTAACAGCGTCACAGAACCACATGTTTCATTTCAAGCATGTAATCAGCCACTTTAGGGATTTTGTCGATGTATCTACGCCGAAAAGATGCTCAGGGAACACTACGTTGAAAAGTACAAAATAAGCTCATTTGGTAGCTTCATTCGTATGAATCTGTGACTCTGTGCGTTTTTCGAAATAGGCACGATCAGGTCGGCTCAGGCTTAAGATACGTCCCGGGGAGTCTGTAACGAACACCACTTTGCTCTCGAGCCCAGCGCACCCCGTCATTTGCACACCCTACCAATCACACTAGATGCTGCACATGTAATACGCAGTAAGTTAAATCATCCATACCTTAAATGTACCCTACTTTATTGTACTACATATTAGCACTGACAATATCAATAGAATCTGTTGTTGTTATTTGCTCCGCTCATTATCGGTGCCAGTTATTCTGAGTTAATGTGATACCATTTTACTCTCACGCCTGTAACTTGTGCAACCACCAACTGGGCCATATGGGACAACGTATATAATGAGGATAAGGTTTGTGTGTTTACCTACGATCAGAAAGGCTTTCTAAGAAACTCCAAGCCCCAAACTCAATGGATAAAGAATTGTTAAGTGGCCATCACAAGGAAACAGGGAATTTAGGAATAACAGCATGGAAGGGCAGCGTGACTGCATTTTTTAGCTACAACAGCCGAAGGGTATAACAAACTTTTGTCAGGCATGCCACGACTGCAGCTCCTTTAGTTATCTGCAATTCACCAACTGTGCTGTGTTGGAACCCATTAGGTCTGACAACCATAGATATATGGTTGGTGGGAGCTTGGTGCGGCTGTTAGTTGAGAGACCGAGGAGACACCGTTTCATATTTTATAAATCAATGCTAACCTTTACACAAGTCGATACGATTACGGTGATAGCAGCAAATATGAATCTATGGATTTGCATTTGAAGGAGAGCAATACATCTTCCCTGGGCTCTACCTCCATGCCTGTGAAGGACTTGCTCACTGAAGATACTATCCACTTGGCCGCTAAAACGAGAGGAGCACGTCTCAGAAATTCCCCAGAATACCGTCGCTTGAGAGGTGAGGCAACCCGCTGAGCACGGAATGATGACAACCGCTACTGGTCTGTAATGGCAAGCAACATGGAATCTTCATCAAATTCTGGTAAGTTAAGTCGCATCTTTCGTCTAGTCCGTTTAGCTTCGGGTAAGCGCTATTCACCACAACCGATGTTGCGCAATTCAATAGGCCAAATCATCCCCGATAAGGAGGGAAAACTTCCCAGATGGGCAGAGTATTTTAACAACCCCTAAACCGTCCAATACACACCACCGCACCCATTTCAGCATTAACCCACCCGGGATATGACGCCAATCGCTCACCGCCATCTCCCAGAGAAATTGAAGATATCATTCGTCGCCTGAAATCGAAGAAACCTCACGAAGCCTACGGGATTCCAGCGGAAATCTACAAATCTTGTCTACCAGCTCTCCTTGATCATTCGCACACACACACACACAAGCTCTTCTGCCCGATATGGGAGATCTAAAGCTGCCGTTCCACGTGGAGTACCTCAGTACTACTGCCATTTCCCAAGTAAGGTGGCCCAACTGTGTGCAGTAATTATCACGGTGTTAGCCTAACTGATGTGGCTGCCAAAACCTTCGCACGAATCTTGTTTTTCCCCTTTGCCAATATGAGGAAACTGCGAACTCGCCTTAACCAAGATGGCTTTCGACCAGACAGAGGCTGCACTGACCAGATCTTCACTCTACGTCGGGTACTCGAACTCCTCTACTGGTTCCAGCAGTCCATGTTTATGTGCTTTGTTGATTTTCCAGCTGCCTTTGACTCAGTTGGCACTGAAGCACTCTGGAGAATCCTACTTGCCGATGGCGCACCGGTTGAACTCGTTAACTTGATGAGATCATAATACCGTTGTAATAAGGCCCGAATTCGTGTCTAGGGTAAAGAAACAAAGGGACTGGACATCAATACTGAAGTCCGGCGGGGTTGCCCACTTTCTCCAGTGCTGTTCAACTTCGCAGTCGACTGGGTTACGATTCATGTCCTTGAGAGTTATCGTGGTGTTCAAGTTAGCTCTGACTTCTGGCTGTCAGATCTAGAATTTCCTGAGGAAATCGTTATCCTTGCAGAAGATGCTATATCAGTACGGTCACTGTTAAATCGAGTCGACCAATCAGCCTCTATGATTGGCCTCGAAATTAAGATCATCAAGACAAACTACTTCTCATCGTCAGCCCACAGCCCGCCCCGTCGCTCTCTTTACATGGACAAATCATCGAATCTGTTCTAGAGTTCAAGTACCTTGGATCCACGTT